GAACTTTGTATGCCTCTACAATACATTGCTTAGCTTTCTGTGAAGAGGTAATATTAGTTATATAAGAAGCAGCCTTGAATATGTCAGTATGGTTTTTGAAAACATAGAATAGTCATGAAGAAATCAGAAAAAGAGATTACAGGATGAGTTTCCAAAATCAATAAATATTGAAAAGGCTTGAAAAAACAAACAGCATTCATCAGAAAGCAGGGTTTGTTTTTTTTTTTTTTTGTTTATAATGGCTATTGGAAAAGGGGCTGCAGAAATTCCAGGATAAAGAAATAAATGATTTCATGTTTGAGCTTGATCAAAGCAGTTTCTAACAAAGTAATGGAAGATGTGTCTATGCATATGAGATGAGGGAGAATTTTAAGAATTGAATTTAGTGAAAGAATTATAAGGCTTATTAGTCTTATTAATTGTTCTGCTAAAATGAAGCTGGCATTATGGGTAGAAATGAATTGATCTTTTAAAAAAATACACAGGACTTACGGTGGATTTTTAATGGATTTTTTTCCACGAGTTTGAATAGTTGCAAATTTGGAAGATAAACAACTTGAAAGTGGAGACTAATGATGTTTTTAGGATAGGTAATAAATAATGATTGAAATTACCATGTTAAATTTAATTTGAGTAAATATTGCTCAAAAGAAGACTTAAAATTCACCTGGAGACAGTAATGGTTAGTTAGTTAATGAGCAGAACTGATGGGTGTTAACTGAGGCACTGAAGGGAAGACTTTCAGCTGGTGTATTTTGGGACACCTGATTATGTCAGTTCAGGGGTTCAGGTGTCTGATGTTTGTGTGCACATGCCTGCTGGGTGATGTCTGGAAGTGGTGCATTTGAGTGAAAGCTCCAGCTTCTTTAGGTAGTGATATTTGTGCTTTGAGAGTTTTCTCAAATTACAGCAGCCCTGTAATTTCCAAATGTTACCCAAAAATGTGTTTTCCTTTTTCTATAATATTAGTAAATAGTAAGAAAAAATCCTGAAGACAAAACCTGTTTTGTTTGCAAGCTTTGGGAGTTAAAGTGCAAGTTGGACTGTTACTTAATTCAGGTCCTTTGCTTTCTGCAGTACTTCAAGGTGGACTGTGTACATGTTTGTTTATGAAGTACAGTAAATAAATAACACCTTTACTGAGTTTGCCTTGTCTGAAAGTGGTACTCATTCTTCTTGAGCCTCACAATTCATCTGCTCATGCACAGCAGTTCCAGCGTCTTGAACAGTTCCTCCACACTTGGTCTTGGGCAATCAGTCAAAATCTCTTGTGAGTGGTGGCTGTAGGGTTGGCTGGCATTTAAGGAATCCTGTTTTGATAAAAAAAGTAATCTTTTGTATGTACCTTCCAATCCAGGCCTTTCTGTGAGCACCTGAAGGATGTTTTATTAATAAAGTAATACACAGAATATCTGTTCTTAAAATCAGACTTTTTTGCTCTCCATCATTTAGAAAATTTTTCAAATACTGAGAGTCAAAATCAACCAATAGTAATGCCTAAACAAGTTAAGTGCTAATACTTTTTTAAAAAATATTTATTAGGAAGACTAATAATTTGTCCTCAACCATATATAACTGGTGAAAAATCAGCAAAGTAACTTTCTGTGCTCACTAGTCACATTTTCTTCATGCATGAAAAATGATACTGCATTCAATTTCATTGTGTTTGACATTCCTAATGTAAAAAGGATCTCTTAACAAGGTGAAGTGACATGGTGAAAACTCGAAGAAGTGACTGGAAAATCTCTCTTATGCCATTCCCATCATTTTTGTAGGGTAGCATATTGCTTTTCCATTTGTCAGATTTCCTTTTTTAAACATCTTTTTTTTTTTTCAGTTCTTCTGCCACTCTATCTTTTGACCATCTTTGTGTGTCCAGTATTGCACAGAAAATGTCCATTTATGCTAATGAGAATTACCAGGATATTAATTGCCCATTTATTCTGAAGCAAATCCATTTTTTTGTTCAAGTATTGCATCTTGTTAGAATTGATATTTACATGAACCAAATATTTGCTGAATTTCTACAGAATCATTTTTCAGTGAGGAATTGTAAACAGCAGCAGTGACTTCAGGAAAGTCACTGCTTTGTTGATTTCAACTCCTTAGCTAAAATGATGAAATACAGGTGATTTAGCAAGGTTATGGACTAAAGTAGCCTGAATTTAATGAATGACAAGCACCATTAGGTTTTACTACGCTGCATCTAGTGCCTAAACATAGCCCTGAAGACTAAACCCAAGTAAATCCCATTAAAACTTTTTGGCTGAGGAAATGACCATCATCCATGTGTTTAAACATGGAAGTGCAGCTAGAGAAATTAAGTAAGTGTGATAAAACAAGTGTATTTATAGCAAGACGTGCACTTGCTGTTTCTTCTTAGGAATGAGTGCTCGGTTGATGATAACTGTACGTGTTTTCTTGTGGAATCCTTCAATTCTGGCAGATAACTGTTTCCTTCTAGATATGCCAGTGTATAGCTTCAGTTATTTTTTATGTGTATTTCTTATGTACCCCAGAATATGATAAGCTGTTCTGGAGAACTGATCCTCTGTGAGAAAGTATACTTGGGGGATTTTTGTTTGTTGGATTGATAGTTTCCATATGAAAAATCTTAACAGTTAATTTTTAGTGAATTCGTTAATGCTTTAAGTATTGCTCTTATAACTTAGCAAATTATACCTATTTCAAGGGGTTTATGTTTTAAATGTAAATAAATAAATTGAATGGCAGAGCATGTACTAATTGATGGAAGGAATATTAGTTTCTTTTCTGTCTGTTTAAAGAAAAAATAGCATATTCAGTGACTTCATGTTGCTAATGAATAAGGATTTTTCCCAATACATTATAGTAACAAACAGACTGTGAATTAAATATAGAGTAACACCTTTTAAGAAGTAAAATATTTATATTCCTTTGTATTATAAGTAAGTTCCGTTTTTGTCAATTTTATGAACTTGTCTAGAAAGGAAATTACCATGTGATAAATAATTTAAATTCAACTGCAAAACTAAGATTATTGAATAGTTTAACTTACTTAGCATAAAGTTGCAGTCTGCACAAAGGTTCTCCAACATTCCATTTTAAGAAATGATAAAAAGGAGAAAACTTAGTTTCTATTAATTATGTGACAAATGTGTGCGTACTTTTATTTTTCTAAGAACACTTAGCTATGCATTTGTAGCAGGGAACTATAACATATCCATTTCTGAACTTATGAGAAATGCAGGGTTTAAATTATCTCATGCATTTTATTGATATGTTTTCTTTCCAAAGTAGGTATTGAATTTTATTTCCTTCTGTGATATGATAGGTTATCTGTTAATAAAATTCTTTCCTTTTCATTTGTTCAACCCAGAAATATGAATGTCTCAGAAATCATGTTGTATTTTGCTAACATCTGTACAGTCTTTCAAATTCCTTAGTTCTGCAGCATGATTATTTTGAAGGTGTACTTCAATGAAACACATAAATGAGCACTGAAAAATAGTGTATAAAATGACTAGTGCTCATGTGAGAGTTGTTTACATTTCTTGTCATCTGCTGCTTTGTGACCATAATATAAAATTCAACCCCACCCCTTTTTTATTTTACCTGTAAAGCTTTCTGGTTTACTTGTATTTACATTTGTTCATTCTTTTGTGAGCTTTTGAGGACAGGAGACAATTGTCATACTTAGTCAAGTAGGTGACTTGTGATTAGCTAGAGGAAGGCTAAGGGGCTGAGAACATTTTAATCTCTGCATCACATACTGCATCCAACCATCCGAACACATAAAATTCTCTTAAATTTCATTGCAATCCTTGTGGATTGACCCTGGCTGGACACTAAGTGCACTCCCCTTCATCCTGGTGTCAGCTTCTACTCCTGGGTTTTCTCTCTTTTCCCTCCCAGCAGTGCAGAGGGGCAGGAAGTAGGTCAGTTCATCACACACTGTCTCTGCCACTCCTTCCTTATCAAGAGCAAGACCCTCGCAGTCTCCTCCCGCTCTGGTGTGGGGTCCCTTCCCACAGGATGCAGTCCTGCAGGCACAGATTGCTCCAGTCTGGGTCCCACCCCAGGTCTTGAGTCCTGGCAGTAAACCTGCTCCAGTGTGGACTTCCCACAAAGTCACAGCCTCCTCTGGCCATCTGGTGGATCTGGTGTGGGGCCCTCCACAGGCTGCAGGTGGATCTCTGCTCCATCCCTGGAGTCCATGGGCTGCAGGGGCCAGCCTGACTCACCCTGGTCCTCACCTGGGCTGCTGAGGAACCTCAGCTCCAGGGCCTGGAGCACCTCCTCCCCTCCTTCTGCACTGACCTTGGTGTCTGCAGAGCTGTGTCACTCACGTATTCTCACTCCTCTCTGTGTCTACGGTTTGAAGTTGTTCTTTTTTCCCACCTTTCTAATTATGTTCTCCCAAAGGCTCTGCCACCATCACCACTGGGCTTGGCTTTGGCCAGCAGCGGGGCTGCCGCGGAGCTGACTGCTGCTGGCTGCCTCGGACATGTGGGGAAGCTCCTCACAAGAAGCCACTCCTGTAGCTCCCCCCCTACCACAACCTTGCCAGGCAAAGCCAGCAGAGACCGTGCATGTAGAAACACTCAGATAGCTGAGACCTGCAGTTGATTCTGTACTACCATCTGTAGGTTTATTGCAGTGCAGATTGCTTCAGCATTTGGGGGTTTTTGTCTCTTTCCTTCCCCACCTGTTGAATAAAGACTGTAGTATTTACTATAGAATAAAGACTGTAGTATTTACTAGCTTTACAAAAGAATTTTGAGATTCTGCAAAAGAAATTTGAGATTAAATACCTACCAAATAAAAATTACTCTTATGTTAGTAGAAGAAAAATGGTTGAAGATTATTATTATTATTATTATTATTATTATTATTATTATTATTATTACTACTATTACTATTATTATTATTATTATTATTTTATGCTTTAGTTACAGATACTACCGTATTAAGAAGAGAAAAATAAGGAAGAAATTCAATCAGTCGCTTTGTTTTTGCAGGTTCCTTCATGCTGGTGAACACATCTGGAAGATTTGCCGGACAGAAAGCTCACCTCCTGATGCCCCATCTGAAAGAAAATGATACACATTGTATTGATTTTCACTATTATGTTTCAAGCAAGAGTGGAGCTAGCCCTGGCACTTTGAATGTATATGTGAAGGTTAATGATGGTCCTATTGGTAACCCAGTCTGGAACACATCTATCACTGCCACTTGGAATAGAGCAGAACTGGCAATTAGTACTTTCTGGCCCAATTTTTATCAGGTATGTCTTACCTTTTATGAAATTTCATTTCTCATAATACCTAATGGTTGTTAATCGTCATTTTAACTTTAAATCAAAGTACCTTTCAGTATTTCTAGTTGATCATCATCTTAATCACATTTTTGTACATGATGCTAAATGTTTGTTTCTGCATACATATGGATGTGTTTATATGTTTACATATATTTATAGAAGTGTATGAAGTGCACACATGCTCTAAATGTGGATGAACTAATTATGTTGAAAAAATCTAGAAATTTTGCCATTGATTTCAGTCAATTAACTCTGTTTCTCTGTAATAAATTCACTCGTTCTTTCAGTTCATTAGGGATGCAGCAATTTTTGTTACACTACAGTCTTCAAGTTTGATTTAGATCAGCAATACTTGTTGCAGAATCCTTTGAATCCTCAGTTCAGGTCTTAACTCTGAATGCAATATCCATTTGTCCAGTAGTAAACATAAATATAATCATATCTGTCACAGGAATGATGTTTTGAGTGCATCCTAAAGATTCAGGGGGAATTTCACTTGACAGTCCCTTAGAGTGCTGCTTTTCTGTAGGAAGGTTTAGATTATACAGTTATTTACTGTTCTATAGTAGTTCAATGTTTCTTCTCCTTCTTCCTGTGAAAAAGTCTATGTCTCCACAAACAAGTAACTTACTTCAATAAGAGCAGGCCAGTAGCATACAGGTGTTACTGAGGTTCCCCCATCTTCACTTGAAGTTTCGAAAGTTTGAATTGTATTTTATTTGTTTGCCTGTATTGAATATTGTCACCTTACTTGGAGTAAGTAAGGTACTCTGGGAGGCTTCAGTGGACTCCTTTCTGCAGCTGCAGCATCTGATCTGTGAGGATGTCTCAAGTGAACTCAATCTGTCCTTTTTGAACTCTTTTCTTCTAAGGAAAAAAAAAATGCTGAAGAACTTTCTGGAGTCTTTCCCCTATGATTATTTCACCCAAAATGAAACAGAAAGTCATACTCCAAAAGATGAGTTTGGAGGGCTAGGAGCATTTTATTCTTGGAATGTGAGATGCCTGGCAGTTGATGCAATACTTGCAGACCCAAAAGAACATCTATATTCATTTTCTCTTGCCTCTGATAGTGTGTTCCTAGGTTGGATAGCTGCTATTCACAGGGTCTGTATTTGCATCCAGTGTTCTGCTGCAACTGCACTGTCAGGACTTCCTGGAGAGGATTCAGGGTAAGCTTAAGGACATCTCAGCAAACTTCATGATGAAGATCTTTTATAATTGTCTGCAGGCTCGATGAGGTAATACTCTTGTGCCTTTTGAGGAAGGGCAGGCATATTAGCAGAGCTGAGGTTCACCTCAGCTGTGTGGGAGAAGCTGTGTGCTACCTGACTCTGGAGCACAAGGCTGTATCCTGATCACAAAGTCCAAGCTTGGTTTAGTCATACATCTCTCAGCATGAAAGGGCAGTACGTATTTTGTTGCCTGTTAGAGTTCAGGAAGTGTTTAGATGGTGCTCTCTGTCATTTGGTTTGGTTTTAGGTAGTCCTGTGAGGAGCAGGGAGTTGGTATCCATAATCTTTAAGTGCCTTTTCCCAGCTCAGGACACACCCACAATTCTCTGCTCTTACATCAAGATCTCATGTTAACAATTTGATGCCAGTGTTGAGAATGCCTTCCAGTGCTGCCAAAAAGCCTTTCTGTCTTGACTGAAATAGTGAAGACCAGTCTGTGTTGTTAGCCTCAATGGATGGTGGAAGAAGAGGATAGAGCATCCCACAGACAATTTTGTGGCTGACATTGGATGTAGCTCAGTGGTTTATAATGTGGAATTTACTGGAAGGTTTTGTGAACATGGTGGGTGGTTCAGGAGTACTGAATACTGGGTAAATGTGTGACTGTGTCATTTATGCTCAAGTCTGAAATGTTCCCATCTGTCTAGTGAATTAGTAGAGGAGCATCCGGTTTTCTGTCTTCTGAAAGGAGTCTGGTTTTATGCAGCAGAACTGCTGAGGAATCAGCAGTCAGTAAAGAAGAGGGCTATGCTTCAAAGTCTCACTCTAGCTTTGAATCAAAAGGCTGATGTGGACTTTTAGTAGAAGAAGACTTGACTGACTGTTAGTTTTAAGGTAAATTAACATGTTCTTAAAAACACACAAAACCTCCAATGGTTTCAAATGTTCATTACTAATGTTATTAATTATAATTTGTGTCAGATTTCTGACTATATGATACATCTAACTGATGTCTGAGTAATATGGGTATTTGGCCATAGAAACAGAAGGATAACCTTTCCCATCCTCTTTTTCCTCAAGACCTGACCATCTGGACTGTTCATTATTTGTAGGTGAACCCTTACATGCTTTGGATGTGGCACTGCAGTTTAGCAGATTGCCACTCATCAGCTAATGTGTAATAGATGCCTGAGCCTGTCTGTAATGGATTCTGTGTGCTCTCCTTGCTGCTGGAAATGTTGACATTTTTGCATAATCTTTCTTTCATTGTGGAGTATAGTAAGTAATTTTCTTTGCATTTACTGTGTATAGTCTGAAATGCTACCTGGTTAGGTACTGCAATTTAGCTGATGTGCCAGAAGATCTCATGCTATGGTAACATCCATGGCAGTGCAGGGAATCACTGTTAAATACTGTAGCTTCACTGGTTTCATTGTAAATAAGCTCATTTATTTTCCAGGAAGTGCTGTCACCATTTTAAGAGCTTACAGATAATTGTCTTCGTTTTTGGTTGCCGCCATCCTCTCAGAGATCTGTGTTGCAATTTCCTCACTTGAGTGCTGACATTTGCAATTTTTCATCGTTTTTGAACTCCTTTCATCAGTTTTCATGCTTTTTCTTCTTCACGGAGTTTGTTGTGGGGGAAGACAGGATGTTAGCTGCAAGCAGCTGGGAGAAGGGCAGGAAGAGGAGAGAGGGTATTGGATCTTGTGACAATATGGCCCAAGTTAGGTGACAGCTCCGGTGATGGCAGGAATAGTGGGAAAGGCACAGGACTCATCTGATGGGTATATAATATAGTACCAAGTCTGTTTCCTAAACTGCTATTCATTTGAGTCCAACACTCCAACCTCCTTTGGCACAAATCCTTAATGTTCCACACAAAACCTCCAAAATATGCAAGACTTCCTCCCAGTGATTTTCTGAGTTTGTCTGACCTTACTGAATATAATTAAGAAAAGCTCCTTAAGAAGATTTTCAAGGAATGATGGAGCCCTTTTTAACTTTTCTTGTATGAAGGTTGTAGTTTCCCAATGAGTAATCTCTGAGAGAAGACATGACATTAATAGGTGAAGGGACAAAGCAGTGTAACTCTGTGATTGTCTTTGTTGTGTTTTACATCACATCACCTGTGTAGCCATCCACATCTGTGAATGTTTTGTAATTCCATTCCCTTAGTAGAACACCTACAAGTTGTCTAGATGCAAATGAAACCAAAATGTACTACAGAACTCTGAGAACAAATTATATATGATAATATTTCAGGGTTACAATATTTATACAATTCAATATTTTTTCAAACAGTGTGTTGTGTCTGCCTTGCTGTTGAAAAACGTAGGCAAAATAACTCCCACTAAATGGTAGCTGACTACAAATCAGATTATGTAGTGTGGACTGAATTTTAATCCAGCTTCTAAAGATTTATTGGTTTAAATCATGTATTGCAGACGCATATAAGCAAAGTGTTCAAAAGATTTAATAATTAACAGTAGTTTATTTTTGTAGTACCAGTTGCCCAAGCTTGTAAATACTGTTCAGGTTGGGTTTCTATTTAGAATCGACTCGTTAGAAGTACAGTCTTTGAACTAAATAATATATTTCCTTTAATGTACCCATTTCTTTTTGCCAGTTAGCTATTTGTGTATGTTGCACACCATGGGTAACCTGTGCTACGTATATATCACAAATCACAATTATAACCTGCATGTAACCACATTAATTGTTGATTACTTGCTGACTATTTAAATTGTCAAGCATTCTGTCGATGAAGGATATATTTAAGTTTGTAATTTTTCATGATCTTCCAAGTAACTGCTGCCTAATATCTGCCATTGATTTTAGGGTATGTCTGCACTGCTGTCCAGTTAGTGATAACAGTGTGCTTGCAGTAACGTGGGTTCAAGCTGCCAAGCACCTTCTGAGAGTCCAAGATAATCAGCACAGCTTGTTCTTTTCTGCTGTGCCTCCTGGTCTCTGAGCTATTTGTTTTGAAGTAGCTGGTGTATTTCTGCAGGTACTAGTCTCATTTCTGTTTTATAAAATCGCTTTAGGAGTGCTCCCCTGAGGGAGCATTGCCTTCCTCTTTTTAACATCGTGCCCGGGAGAAATTTGTTTGGTTTGCTGAGCTATTGTCTGTTTGGTGCATCTTAAGCAAGAGCATCAAGGAGTTTATTGTACCTTTGGAGACAGCCTGCAAACAAAACAAAGCTTCACACAATTCCTAAGACCTTCACCCTCTTCCTAACTTGGGTAGAATTAGAATGTACATAGAAAAAGAAAAGTGAGCACTACATAGATTTTGCTGGTTAGTGGCAAGATTGTTTTTAGTTTCTTGGGGAGCAGTCTCAGTAGGTTGAGAGGCTCTAAAATTGATGCTTTGAGATAAAAGTCATGAAAACACTCCTCATCTAGTGAGGAGAGGGTGACAGGGTTTTGGGGTTTTTTTTGGGGAGGAGTATGTTTTTATTTTCTTTAATGTTTTGAGGTTTTTTCTCATTCGGATTTTTTAGCAGGAGTAGAATCTGGTGATTTTAGGTTTTTTTTCCTAGGTTAGTTAACAATTCTCAGACCAATAAGTAGTATTTAAAATTTATTATATATTAAAATCAAATATATACTATATATAAATATATTTAGAAGTGTTACCATTTTGGAACATAACAATATGCAAAAGCTACTACTGAGTTGAGTGTGGAGAGGGGATTGTGTTCCCTGCTTCTAACCCTTCAAGCAAGCAATTTAACACCGCACCACTGCAAGTCACACACCATCCCCTTATCAGTTTTTATATTTTGTA